CTGTGCGTTGAGCCACCCCAGTTTTGTACTGATTTCTCTGGTTGTTGCTACAGCTGCTCACTTCCTTCACGGGAAAGTGGCTCTAGTGACGGGGGCCTCTTCGGGCATCGGGGCGGCCATAGCCGAACACCTGGCCGTGGCTGGGGCTAAGGTGGCGCTGGCTGCACGTCGGATAGACAGACTGAAGGAGCTGCAGGCGCGGATAGAGGACAAGGGTGGTGTGGCTATAACTATTGTGATGGACGTGTGTGATGAGGAGCAGGTACGCAAGCACGCCACTGCTACATGACTTAAATGAATTTCACTAAACAATGAAAGTGGTCCAGATAAATTTGTTGCCATTGGTGAGCATAATATTTTATTCAACAAAAATCTTGTTATACAATTTGTTGTTGTTCTTGAGATAACGACCATTGAATTGCAATGCACGCAAAATGTTACTGTTCTTGATGTGCTGTATTTAATATTAATTTATTATTGACTTATTTTATATGTGCAAGGCAATTCATAATGGTTATTCCCAAGTTATTTCTTCATTATGTCATTTTTTTATCAGATACTTAAGTTGTATAATATCAGTTGAAGAGTTAAAGAATATTAGTTATTGGTAAGGTTTAGGAGATACTTCATCTGTTTTAAAAAGCTATCTAGGTGTTTTCAGAACTAGTAAAGCATTTTAATTAATAACAGATCAGTAGCTCAGACTGTGTAGTGACGAATGATGGAAAGGTTAGTGAATTGTGAACTGGAATAAATTTGGAAGGAAGCGGTTATGACCCAGTTTAATGTACCATCTTGTAATTTGCCTTGAGATGCTGAGGAAAACCATAAGAAGCCTCAAGTCAGAGTAACTACGTAGTCTCTAGGCCAGACTGTTAACCTGGGACCTCCTTGATGCAATGTAGGAATGCAAATATTAATAACTAAACTGTTTGAGTGATTACATACATTACTGAATCTAGCCTGTACCACCATAACCTATTTCTCACAGATTCGTTTTGATACCATCTTCTTTTCCATGTGCCTGAACACTGGAGAGTAAAAACTGTGTTCATTTGCTGCTAAAGAATTTTGGGCCGTATTGGATAATATGTATGACAGTGTTTTTACTACTCTAGAATTTCCCATCATTCTTGAAGAGTAGTTTTTTGTTTCCCTTGTATATACACTGGATAAATGTAACAGAACAGAACTGTGGTGTGTTGCAGGTGCATGTCGGCGTGAAGCGCGCAGAGTCCGTGCTGGGACCTTTGGACATCCTGGTGAATAATGCTGGTGTTCTGTACTACACTATGATGAAGAATGTGCATATTAAGGAATGGCAGAAGATGGTTGACATCAATGTGAAAGGCACTCTGAACTGCGTGGCGGCCGTGTTGGCCGGAATGGTGGAGCGAAGACGGGGCCACATCGTCAATGTCAGTTCTGATGGTGGCCGTAAGGTAGGTACCCACGCTGTCTCCTTTCGATAAATACGTGCAGATTAAAGTGTGTACGTATGTTAGTGTTGTCTTCGTGAGTTGTCATGGTGATGAGTATAATGACACTCTTCTGGGAAGTTGACTAATGTTTCAGAGGTGCTTACTGCATCTGTCATTAGGTGATAGCCCTGATGATGGAGGCCAAGTTTCACACACACAAAATATTTTTATGTAGGAGGCAGGAAGACTGAGATTCTGAATCGAGCGGTAGCAAGCATTCTTTCAAGTGAAATACGCTCTTAATTTATTCATCCATCTGTTACTGTTGAATCTTCACTGCCGAAGATCACCCGCATAAAGATGTACGTGTCAGTTTTGTCGTGTTACTGCTGAGTTGTATCTCATTAGGTGATAGCCCTGATGATGGAGGCCAAGTTTCACACACACAAAATATTTTTATGTAGGAGGCAGGAAGACTGAGATTCTGAATCGAGCGGTAGCAAGCATTCTTTTGTCGTGTTACTGCTGAGTTGTATCGTTCATTCGACAGGGATTTGCAGGCTTATCAGTTTACTGTGGAACTAAGTACTTTGTGGAGGGCATGTCCCAGGGGATGCGCCAAGAAGTGGCTGAGTTCGGGGTCAAGGTTACATGCATTCAGCCTGGGGATGTCAAGACGGAGCTGTTTGAGAAGTCCACTGATCAGGAGGTTTGTACACGTTTTCTTAACCTTTCATTGCACAGTTTCACCTGTTGCAGGAATGGCCATGCTAGCATCCAACACCAACCCTTTAAAGCTCTGTGGTAACTATATGTACCACCTGCCTTATCAGGAACTCTCCATTTTGTGTTTATAGGTTTCATATAATTATGAGATTGCTTCATAAAACAGCATTAACCATTTAATTTTTGTCAGGAAGAACATTTCTCTCTGTAGCACACCTACTCACTGAAGGGGTTAACTCTCTGTCGCACCACAAATTCGCTGCACCGTGATGCTATCATAGCGCTTAATTTAAATGTCCTATATACACCACATTTTAGCTCATCGAGTGCATTTAATTTGACTGTTTTCATGTTTGTTACTTGTGATGTAGTTAAAGAAAGTACACAACAGTGAAATTTAGCAGTATGCAGTCTGTTACAGGTTAGTGGAGTATCTTTATAACGGTGTTGTTTGAAGAGACAGCAGTTCAAAGAGATCGCCATTATCCAATCACCAGTAAGGTCCATTTCATAGCTTGATAAAATGTGTTCTACAGATGGCGTATTCATGGCGGTTGATGTTCTGTTATAGGCGAGGGAGAAGTACGAAATGGTGAGCAAGATGAAGGTTCTGGAACCAGGGGACATAGCGCAGGCTGTGTTGTATGCCGTTAAGCAGCCAGACCACTGTTCAGTCAATGAGATTTTGGTGGAACCCCAGCTGGCCCCGATATAAACGTCAGCTGTATATGAGGTCTTCCATAAGTAAACTGCTACAGCAACGTAAACGCAGTCAAACTCGGAGAGCAAAATTTGTGTTAGACTCAGCTTTCAGTTTTCAATCAGACTTTTCATTTTAATCCTCTTGGTGCTGATATGAACCACGTTAACTTCATACTATTGCAGTGGGACTCACTGAATCATTTATGCTTATTATTCACGAGATCGCGGGTTTGTATCTGGGCATATGGGCCAGCGCTCTATACTTTTATGTCTCTACAGTTTTCGTATTGTCATCGTATGACTAGGAATTTTCATTGTTTCTTGCCACCTCCATTTTGTTTACTATGACTGGATTTCTACACTTTGTTCATTGTCTGGTATTCTGAAATGAACTCAGTGTTTTGGAAACTGGAAATTTCTGTCCTCAGAAGAAAGAATGGCAATACCTACTTACCTGAGGATGAAAACAGATCCATTTCTGTTCATCTCAATACACCAAACAATAAAAACGTCCATAAATCCAGAAACAGTAATTAATCGCCCTCTTGTTGTGTAACCAGCGTAAGAAGGGGAGATAAGAAATGCACAGAAAATTTCAGTCCGAAAACCTGAAGGGAAGAGACGTTGGTCTCAAGTAAACTGGATATGAGGCTGTGGACTAGATTCTTATTGCTTAGGATAGGGACTGGTGGCAAGCTCTTGTTAACACACTAATGAACTTTAAAGGTGGGGAATTTGTGTATCATCTGAGTGAATACTGGCTTCTCAAACACTCTGGTTATTGTAATTATTTGTTTTTATCAGTCAGTACAAAGCACGCATCACATTCTCATTGATATTAATGGCGGGTGATTCAGGCCCTTGTGATGGTGTGCAGCATTTTATGAACTTGGTCCTCTACTTTGCTAGTGCCATGCCGTCCTCTCTCTGTCATTCGAAGGCCCTAGAAACTGAGAGACGTGTGAACCACCTACAGTGCGCACTACTCTGTGGTTATGACGCACGGCCTCTCTGCATTTGAAGCCGTCGTATGGTGCCCTTATTGCCTTCATACCGCAAGTGTTCGGTTCTTGTATTTTGAAAGAAAATGAGCCCATTTTAGTAGAGCAGCTGCCGACACACTTGTCGGAACGTTTCGCACAAACACTTCAGTAACTCGAATGGAGCTGGATGTTATTGAACAGGTCAGTGTAGTGGAAACCATCAGGAGGAGCTTGATTCAAATGTTGGCTTTGATCGTAGCTGTTGTGAAAGGGATTTTTGTTGGTTTTCTTCAGTATCCCCAGGCATACTGGGGTAGTACCTTCATTCAAATAGGTCATGACAACATCCTTTCACATCCTTGTCTGATTACCGTTGATCATCCTTCCTTCTGTTTTGTTGCTATGTGCAGTTGCTTAGATACATACAAATAATGTAAGTATATAAACCTCTGTACTAAAATAGCTATCAGATGCAGCTGTTATCAATTACTTGTATTGATCTGTAGTGCTCTACATGTCTCTGGTTGCGTGGTTCATCTACAAGAGCTGTTTATATCTTTAGTAGACTCTCCATCGTACATGAGCATGTTGCATAATTTTTTTGTGATCTTTTCAGTGATATTTGAAAACTTTGTACTGAAATGTATTCATTAAAGTTGTATGCTTCGTCTAGCGTCAACCTTTTCCTCTTAGGTCCTTACATGTTCCTTGACTTCATTACACTTTGTTATTCATTGATCCATTGATGGTCGCCGTTGCTGCAAGTTTTTTTTTGTCACACTCTATCCTTCAGATATTATTTGTGTTTTTGCAAGTTGAAGAATACGTTTAGAAGATATAACGTTACACTGGTAGTTATTTCTGCTCTTTATGTGTTGTTTTTCTTTATAGGTAGATCCACACCCTTGACACGGTAATCATCTCACCTGCCCAGTGTTCATTGGCCCTCCATGTATATCTTCAGTGTGTGTGCTCTTTTGATTGACTATTTATTCCTACTAACTAACTGGGTGGCATAGGGAACACGAAGGTTCATCACTGAACTAATCAAAGCCCCCCATCAGTGTCTGTCCTGGGCCAGCAAAATCCAGTCGTCTTCCAACTCCTGTCTCCCATAGATCCCGCCTGAGATTATCCTCCCATCTACGTCTAGGTCTCCCCAGAGGTCTCTTCCCCTCAGGCTTCCCGACCAATACCCAATGCACACCTCTTGCCCCATCCATGCACGCTACATGCCCCGCCCATCTCATCCTTCTTGTCTTAATCACCATGACAATATTGGGGGAGGAGTACAAATTTTTGAGCTCATCATTGTGCAGTTTTCTCCATCCAAAATATCCTCCCCAACACCCTATTCTCAAACACCTGCAATGTATGCTCCTCACTGAGAGCGAGAGGCCGTGTTTTATACCCATACAAATCAACAGGCAAAATTATTGTTTAATTGTATTTCAAGCCTGTCGGCAAGTCACACAGCTGGCAGTCCTCTTATTAATAATTGTATGTCATGGGAGCCAATGCATAAAGGAAGATTGAAAATGTTTTTTCCATCTAATTTAGATTTTTAAATTACAGGTGAATGGTGGATGCGTTGATTTGTTTTCATTTATTTGAACAAATTGTTTGATGTGTGATTAGGAATTGTTGGCCAGCATAATTTTCTTGGCCGAGCCAGCGATGACGGATTCGTGGCCGTATAATACTTTAAGATATCGACAATAGATAGCTGTCTTCGAAAAATATCACGATGCGAAAAGAGCGTTTCCAGTTGTAACTTGGTATTAAAAATATGCGTGATCCATAAGGCAGATAAGATTTGTAATGTAAGTATAATGCCTTCAGTTAAGTGTATATACGTTAAAAATAAACTGAAAAAGTTTTCAATATATATATATGCGCACCGCACGTATACTGTGAAGTTATAACCAGGAAAAATAATTTGGCGGTAATTTTAAAGTGTATGCTTCCATATTGCCAATGAATTTCAGGTTCATAAAATACAGAGAAGTAGTTAATTAATAAGCTGGAAGCATATACTAAGGGACTAGTTGTTATTATAATTTTATTTCTAAGTGAAATTGTTTAAATAGATATATCACAACACTTTGAACCCATGAATTAAGACTCTAGGATGTTTTGCCATGTAGTCTGTTAGAAATTGACATGAAACAAAAGTTGGTATACGTTGATGCTCGTCTTGTCATAGGTTTTCATGGCTGGAGTTTAGTGTGTAACTTCACCTTATACTCAACCTGAAGATAGCAACTGCAGTGATTGCCAAAACGTTTGATAATTCCCAACATTCATTGCAGTTCTTCCACGAAAGGTGAGTTACACAAATATTTATGTGTAAGTTTAATAACATTTTATGGTGACTGTTAAACTTCCCTTGTTTGGTACCGTGCCCCATTGTCTCTTTGAGGTTAATTTACTGTTTACTGTGTGCCATAAATTATACCTAAAAGGTCGAAATGCACCAAAGTAGATGCTTCAAGTTAGTGAACATTAAGAGACCCCTAGTTGATCTGTGTCAAGTCTATCTATGGACCAGGACCTAAAGAAAGTCAGAGACGTTAAGTAGGACTCACATTACATAAATTATGGACTGAAATCTTCTCTGAAGTTTATGACTGGAATGTTGCATACATAAGTGTGTGAAGTGTATAAAGAAAATAATGATTCAATGGTTTTAAAACTTGTATTTAATTAACAGTTTCTTGAATTTTTTGTACAAAAATAAGACTAGTCTAATGGAACCTCAAAAATTGACAAATCAAACTAGATCAAACCTTATGAGATAATTCATATGTGGGAACTGATGATGTCTCTTTATATATAACACAGACTTTCAGTTATATAAATTGAAATTGGAGTCAAATCTGTAATACACAACATGAATCTTTCACAGCCATTGGTATTACAACTCAGCTGCATTGAAATGAAGTGAGTTGCTGTGTTTATTGTGTAAAATTTTCCAGTGGATTACGGTATTGACATTTCTAAAATGTGTTATTTATGAATTTTCATTCCTGTGTTACCTTGATGTTCATTATTTCTGTCTGAAATGATTTTATCTTTTCCTTCCATCTTGTTATTTTGCACTGAATTCTTCTGGTAGCAATTAGCACTAAAATTTTGTAATAAGTAGCAGCAAGTCTTTTGTAGAGAAAACCAACTTGGAAGCAGACACCATAACAAAAAGTGTTTTGTATGAGTCTTTCATACAAAAGTTGAAAATCTTAATGAGACCTACATTTTAATAATGTCTTGTATAAAATATTTGTATAATGACGAGGTTTCAAGAATCCTGATTACATCAATGTGCCTTTATTGGAAGAATAGAAATCCATATTAAATTCACCTAACAACTTTTGATGTGAAGTGGTACTAAAACCTATCAGGCGTAATTCTCTGAAAACTTTGTTGAGTACTTCTACCAGTTATTTAGCATGTTGCTATTTCTGTAAGTAGGTTATTTGGTTTTGAACCTTTGTTATCAGTGTAATATATCATTATTCAAACATAAATTTGGGAAAAAGGTGTCTTTGTGTCTGATATACATATTAATCTGATATGTTCTTAGAAATTCCCCAAATATTTGTTGATCATTGTGAGACTTTTCCAGATTGGGAATTTGTTGACATGCAACTGGAAACTATCAATTTAAGGCATGGGAGTTTGCATTTGTTCTTGTAATAATTTTTATAGTCTCTCACAGTGTGCACTCTGTATAAAATAATTAAGGCAGTATGTAAAAATAAATCTAACTGGGCCATAGATTTCTGTTAAAGTGGTTACAAAACTGCAGAAGAACTCTAATCAGTTTCCAGTTTAGATGGAATATGTGACATTCTGTTCTTGGTACTTATTTGCAGAAGCTGATACCACCGAGTGATTGTCATGGCTTTGTTTTGGCCCAATTTATTGCAAATTTTTAGATATTGTCCATCATATTTAGTTCCGTGTCTGACAGGAATGAAGAACGGTGTTTCACTAACACTTTGCCAACCACAATCAAGTGATGTTAACAGGGTGGTCATCCTGAGCTTGGAGCTCAACCGTGAAGTCCCACTGTTGTGACATGGCCCCACGACGACACTCGGACAGCCTTAGTTCTGATCTGATCCCTGATTCCAGACATTGTCCTGAAGACAACAACACAACAGCTCTTCCATGGCGGCTCCATTCCTGTTGATAATAAATTACTCTTTTTGTCATGTAAAAGTTCTTCAGCATTTTTTACCCACATACCTAATGAAGAAAATCACATTAAAATTCAAAATGAGGGAGATATGTGGAAGCCTCTTTTGCGGACTGATGTTCATCTACTGGGTGGATTTGTAGGTAGATAGGTAGGAACATACTGACTCCATCTCCAGCCTTGAAGATCGGGGCAGCGTGTTGTTCAAAAATCCACATGATTTTATAACCCAGAAGACAAACATTGACATCTTCATTCCTGTGAGAACCTCATATCTCTTATTTAGGGGGTTCAGCCTGACTGGTAAATTTTATAGATATTTCAAACCCTGCACTTTTGCCAAAAATTAGATCTGTCGATAGAGAACATTTTATTGAATTATTCAACTTTCGGTGCACGCTTCCAGAAATACAACTTGATCTCTGCTAATCAGTTATGTCTTACCCAAACTTCCACACAATTCTTACAAATATTTTTGTAGGAATAAGAATACTGAAGTCAGGGAACAAAGTAATACAGTCTCTAACTTCTTTCTGTGTCACACACTTGCTTAGATGCATTTTTAATGTATCTGACTGAGGTTGAAAGTGTGCTCACCAACAAACTCCATTAGTTCACCTGTACTGAGTGACTGGACATATTTATTGAGCCCTGATAATGTGTTAGCTGCAACGGTTGGATACCGTCGTTGATAAATAACAGAATAATTATGAATTCTGAGTTTATCCACGAACCTCGTTAATGTCTCTTTTAATATTTACTTCTCAGTGGGGTGCTGCACGTAGTTTGTGACTGGCTCACCTGCTGGTATGACTGTGTGCATGTTTCCAGCACTAGGTTCAATTTATTACGGACTGAGAGACACAATTTTCCATGCTGGATGCTTGCAGTATGAACATTGAATGCCCAGGAATGCTGGGAGAGTTCAGATTCGTTACATTCAGCCAGTTTCACTCCTGAACTCTCTACTTCAGATTGCAGGCACTGCGAACCCTGTTTTAATTGTCCAAATGCAGAATTCTCTTCATTTGGCAACCTTTAACATAATTGTGTTGATGTTATTTTAAAATGTGATATTGATTGATATTTGGATTTACTTATGATGCTGTTGATACTGATAAGTGAATGCTAGACAAAATGGTGGACAATATGTGTCTCAATATCCGTAACACCAAATTTGGGTGCGAATTTCATGTTAAGTTTTGCTAAAAGAAAATGAAGGTTTCTGTCTTCTGGGTTGTTGCGCTGTGTAGTATGGTAGATGTTTACCTACGTTTCAGAGGTCATACTGCCTCCGTCATCAGGGCGATGACTACTGATGATGGAGGCAGTGTGACCTCTGAAAAGTTGGTAAATATCGACCATACTACACAGCGCAACAAACCAGAAGACAGAAATCTTCATACTCACGGCTGTGATAACCTCAAATCTTACATAAAAGAAAATGCTTAGAAACTAGTGATTTGATACTTACTTGAGCTCTGGAAAGACATTTTCCAAATACCACTGAAATGGTCTGCAATCTAATTGACTCTTCACCTCCAGCTGTTCCTGTAAGCTGTTTGGATAAAGAGTGTTGATCATGTTCAATGATTCCTTGTTGCCTGTTTCAATTGAAGGTTATTCTATAGCATCAAGTTGGCTGCATAGGTTATGAAACATCAAATGAAATGAAATGGAATGGAAACAGATGTCCTCACGCACGCACACACACACCAATATATACAAGGGTTGAGTAAAATGTGGGTTGTAAGTGATAAGATTTGTCTCTAAATCCCCTCCTACCTTCAAACCAAACTCACATGCATGTCAACACATCCAAAATAAACTTACAGCGACAGTAATTCCAATATAACCATTAAACTTGGTGCGGATAAGAAGCATTTCTCATATTCTGTCCGCTGACAATTTTATCGTGAAGATAATTTAAGTTTATTAATGTTTTTACCACATTCTCGTTGCTCCAGGCGATACTCACCTGCCAGCATCCAAGGCCCTGGCGTTTGGTTGCGCCTCGTAGAAGAACCTCTTGTGGTCTCCGAGCCATACTTCTGCCACCCTCTTGGTGTTCCTGTAACAGCAGTAGTTGGGATGACTCGGTGCGTCATCCCTGTCAGAGGTACGAGGCGCTCACCTTCCATGTTATGCCACGTCAATTACTACATGGTAGAATAATTGTGAGTTATGAATCGAATGGGATGGGATGTGGAAGGAACCAGTTATGGTCTATTTAAACTACAGCTGTATTTATATGCCTACAATTTAAAGACTTGCGTGAGGTTAGCCAGCCATTTTCCTGGAGGGACTCTTAAAACCCACTCAGGATGAAACGAAGCACCTGCGCCCCACACGTGAGTCAGATGTATTATTGCTGCTCTGTCTATTTAAGAATGTTCACTGTCTCTGAGAAACTTTTTAAACGTCAGATAAGAGTTACTTGAAGCGCAGAGTGAACTCTTACCTGAGGTACGTGTCGGCGTTGCCACCGGGGAACGTGTAGGGGTGCGTCTTGCGGAACACGTGTCCGACCCTGCTGCAGGGCACCACCTCGACATTCCCCCCACACAACCAGCTCTTGAGTGAGATCTCTGTTACAGTGAAGCAGCATTTTCATTGCCGATTTATCAGTAATTAATAAACTACAGCAAGAATAAGAAAGACATTAAAGTCCACAATGAAATTAAGAGGACGTTGAATTTAAGCAGCTCTTGTTTATTTATTTATTTATTTTTATTTGTGATTCATTTAACAGTAGTCAATTGCTCAGAGTATGGAGAGTAGAATGGTAGGATGAATAATGAACTGGAAGTTTATGGGTCTCACCCAGATTTTCTGCTCCCCAGATGCGTAACCCAGAGTCGAACATCCCGAGCCTCTGGAACCAATCCCTGGAGATTAAGAACAGGCCACCTGCAATGGCAGGACTCCTGCAGGGATTTGAATAGTGAGTACAAGCAGATGTTTTATTACCAACATTGCTCCAGAAAAACACTCGCCCATTCGCGTCAAATTAGTGACATGAGACCAGTTACATTTCTGAACTTACTCCGTATTGCATGAGTAGAGCACATTCTGAGCCCATCTGTGTCTGTCTGTCTGTCCGTCGCGCCTTTTACAAGAATGGGACCGGAGGTTCCATCCTTGTGAAAATTATTGCACAAAATTAACATGGGATCATATTCACGCAAGACTTGCCTAAGATGCGACAGTGACATCACACTGCGTTAGTGCAAGAACGACCCATGAGTCATGGAATGTGAGTGTGCCTCACGGAGTGCGCCTGTCCCACCTTGTACTTCTGGAGCCCTGGTAATGTGCGCACATGCTCAGCAAACAGACGTCACCAATGTGCACAGATTACTTTGTAACTTAATTGATTTATAAAGCATCTTTGAATGTCAAGTAATTCAAACCCTCGCATTGCGCCATATTTTAGTTCCTTAATTACTCACAGAAAGGGCTCCATGGGACTACCGCGTCGTGTCCTCTCCTCATGGCTCAGTGGGAGCCACTTGAAGTAAAGACTCCAGTCAAATCCTGAAGCACAAAGAACGGCTTTGCGTCACAAGCGCGAACGTAAAATTAATCTGAAAATGTGAAGGTGGGGGCCACTTGGAAGATCTTGGTGTAGATGGGAGGATGATATTAAACTGCATTATAAGAGATGTGGCTGTCAGCTCGAAATTAATGGATACTGAATTTTTGTTGTCTTGTTCTAACTGTTGGAAAATTTAGACCGTTTAGTGGGATGGTTTCTGATTTTAATTTTTGGTTGAAATTGTATTATTTTTAAATTATAAATGTTGATTCGGACTGCTTATGTGTGGGTTCAGGTTCACTGCGCGTGTCAGTGCGTTCGCAGACTTCCTTGTTCCGGTCGTATTTTCTATCCCATGAACATGTTTGTCGTCACTCTTAACCTATTCCACGGAGCAGGTCCCTTCTCGAAAAGTCGACAGTAGCTCAAGTGGTCAGTGAAAACCCACCTTTGCGGACCCAGGAAATTCTTTGCCGCTGATCTGTACCCTCTAGTTGATGCCCTCTGTTTCAATATTGTCTTCCCATGTATGCCTAGATCTCCCAGGTTTCCTGACTAAAATTCTTCTGTTACTTCTCGTCTTGCCACTGTGACAAAATGTTAAATTGAATGAGCAATGCAAATTAAGAAAGTTGGCCAGCCTGCCTCACCTCCCTTGAGCTGTGGTGAGGATGCACGATACTGAAATGTGTCCATGTCTATCACGTCAATGACTGGGCTGACCACGGTCAGTGCATTCTGCAACAGACACACAGAGCGTTGATATTCTGATACAACAAGCAAACGCAATGTTGATACCCGAGGGGTGGCTTTACTTTGCCAGCTTTTTATCACCATTAAGCATTATTCGGCAAAAGAGCTTTTGATGGGGAATGCGGGTCACATACTTGATTTCCGTGTGAGTGGCGCTTAACGCGTCTGGTCTGGTATTTCCTGCACTTTTAAGGAAGTACGAAGGATGCTTGTTTTTCAAAGTTACTGAAAGTGTGGAACGACATCCTCATGGTAGCGCAAACGACATCATTTGAACTAAGTCTGCATATGCACACTGAGCGGGTTTTAGTAAATGAATGTCTTCGAAGCGCATGGAGTTGGGCCCACCTGGGTGACTCTGTCGAGAAGAGGCTCCAGCCAACCGACGTTGACCTCGCAGTGGCTGTCGAGGAACATGAGGAAGTCCCCTCGAGCTTCCAAGGCCCCCAGGATGCGAGATCTGATGAGACCTGTGGAGTCAGACAAGCGTCCGGTAATGCATCTCTGTTAATCGGTTTGGAAACCACGGATTGGCGGAAAGAAACTCTGGTTTTGTACGTCTCAGAGACTTTGAAGCAATCTGAATGAAGTTTGTGGGCGAGAGTTAGTGAAGACAAGCTTTTGGACAACTGCAGGCTTAGTCGTCTAATGGCCACTTAAACCATCAGCGTTCCTAGTCTAACCTCATTTAAACTGGTCTGTCCATCATGTGCGTGGTCTAACACTGGGTCTTCTTTGTTTCCAATAATCATTTTGTCAATGTTTAACAAATCCAAACTCGTACGTGGGAGAATACAATACGGATCTTTTTGAGATCTGCAACTTTAATTTTAAAACCCCCTTTTTCAATGAACACGCCTGCTCCATGTGATTGGGTCAGTGTCTGCTCAGCGACACGTGTGGGGGCGCAGACCTTTTGGTCTGCCTGAACGTCCTACATCAGGGTTTACCTTCCCTTGCCTGGTTTCTGACGACCCGGACTTTGGGGAGGGAAGACAGAAGCGACCCGTCTTGCTCTGGAACAAAGCGAACGAAAATATTAGTGTGACGAAGTGCATCATTGCAGCATCCACGCCGGATTAAGTCGGGTTACTTATTATTTTTTATGTGTTGTCTGTCCGGGATGAGACATTTATTTGGGTCATCGGACGCTGCAAGAATTGTGAGGCGCGCGGGCCGCCGCCACGTACCGTCGTCGCTGCGGTCGTCCACCAGGATCACTTCCTCGATGAGGTCGGGCGGCGTCCTGTTCAGCACGCTGCAATGAAGAACAGCGCGTTAAAACACTGTCTGTCTGTCTGTCTGTCGTGCCAGCGGAACTCTGAGTCAGTCTCACCTGACGACTGTGCGCAGCAGGGCCGAGCGGTCCTCGTTGTGGAAGGCGACGACGACCGATGTGGTCTGCAGGGGCGCTGCGCCGTACTCCACGTCCCGACATCTGTAACATCGGGAAGCGAGCTTGAAGAGTCCGCAGGGACCGAACGAGTATACTCGTCATTAGCCCTCATACCTGGCGTGTCTGGTGTCTGGCAGAGACCGGTCGCTCGGAAGCTCGTTGCTGCTACGCAGGTTGAAGGCGTGTCGCGCGAACACGTCTTCGTCGTCCTCCGGTGCCGTGCCGACGTACTGCAGCTCGTTGACGAGTATGACGGGCGCCCAGGGCGGAACGGATCCCACCTACGGACACGCGAACAGCTTGAACACAGACCAGGCGAAACGTGGAGCCGATGCGCCGGCCAATAGACGGCGTTTAAACGCACGGAACAAGAAACGAAGCCCGCGACAGTTCCACTTCCCTCTGCTGTTGTCGCATTAACTGAGCGTCTCTCGTGGTTTTCCTCGGGTCTTCTGGGTTGTAAGGTCGCTTGGACTCGCAGGTGAACATCAACGTTTCGGAGGAACGTGCCGCCTCCATTTTCAGGGAATGTCTGCCTACAACCCTTCTTAGCCGCAGTTTCTTAACGGGAGCCTTTAAAGGAATCCGGGAACCTGTGGTTTCGGAGGCGAGACCGAGTCATCCGCCCGTCTACCGGCTCTAAACCGGAAAGTCCGGTGCTGCAGTCTGGCGCTGAATCAAGTGTTCAGTCGCAGCCTCCAAGAATCTGCTGTGTTTTCTGGCCCCCTCGCTGTGGCTAAAGTTGTTTCAGCCATCGTCACGATGATAGAGGCAGTAAACTCCTCCGAAACGTCGGTCAGCATCTGCCAGACTAAACGGCGCTCCGTTTTGATACCCGAAGAGAGAGAGAGAGAGAGAGAGGATAGCGTACCCAACGGAGTTTTGATTTGTTTCGTCAGTGAATGCCGAACCTAAGATGTGGAAAGTCACGTGGACACGCAATTTAGCGGCGTCCGCTGCGAAAAAAGCTTTGAAGGCGAAAATGTTCTGAATAGCATTTAAGAATTCAGGCCGTACCGCGAAGAAAACACCGCACGTCACCGTTGCGAAGACCAACTCGTTAACGCAAAATGCAAAATGTTAAAGCAGGTGGTGCATATTTTTACCGATTGGGTTTTTGTGGGGTTACGCATTGCAAAGTAGCCGTGCGTTCAGAAAAGTGACTTAGTGACAAAGCGTGACGTCGAGCGTCTGCGTCGCCAGAGATTCTAAGAAATTGGGTAAGAGGAATGCGATGATGCATGTCGGCATGTGGAAAAACTTGAACAAATTTATTATGAGCAAGAAGGCAAGATCGAAGACGATACTGAACGTAATATAATTGAAATAATGGAGTGATGAATCGAGTGATATGTCAGAAAGGGATGGTCTGTGAGGAGTGGAAGAAGATAAAATTATCTAATACTTTCTTAAGCGTTAATTTTCTAGTCATGTGTAGTGAAATCGACTTGCAACGATGCGCCGTTGAACATCGCAGTCAGACAGCCGACCGGCCTTATAAGGAAGGGCCTCACGCCACGACCGGTGCCCCGCTGTCATAGCCAGTCACGAGACTTCGACCCCGAAGATGACGGCAGAATGCCACGCGAGACGCGCATTGTGCATCCGCAAAGGTTCCGTGTTCAGAGCCAGATGAATCCAAATCTCCCTGAGATCCATTTGGGAGTAGCCATGCCGACTACAATGTCGCAGCCTCCCGTCACATCAGCCCTCTTGGGTCCAGATGTTCCTCTCAGTCTGTTTATTTATTTTTGTCGCGAGGTACCACGAAAAGAAACAAACAAATACGTGATTTTCCACGTTTTATTCAGCAGACGAAGGGCGCGGCGCTGTCCCGATGACACTCTCCGCTCTGAACGTGCACGACACAAGGCGAAACGCCCACTGACTAAGTTCGATTTCCGGCGAGGTCGGACACTTCTCTGCCCCTTGCGTCTAGACTGGCCGCGTGGCCTGGGCGCAGGAACGGCCCCCCACCCCCCCAAAAGAGAGGTCGCTGGGAACGTGCCTTCTGGAATGTAGCGCCGATTCATATGTGCCCTACGGAACAAAACAAAATCACAGTGCGTCTAAACGAGATACGTCGTGCATAGCATTAAGAGGGCGGAAAAACCACGTTTCTTTATCCTCGTGAGTCTGTCCCGGTCTGACGGAATTTACCTGTGTCAAACGACGGACAAACCCGTCTCCATGTGCGTATTTTGTTTGGATCCGGAACTACGAAACGCCAGGAGCAGCCGACATAAAAACGTTTCCTGTGCACGGCAAATGCTGCAGTTAGAGACTGCAAAAAAGATGTAGGTCACGTCCGCGCTGTTTACAGAGAGAACGCGTTTCCCAGGGAAGAGCGACTTTCTGCGACGCGTCTCTCTGCACCCGCGGCGCTCGGCCTCCGTTCGAATTGACGTCTTCACACGAAGAGCGGATTTTCTTCTGCGCCACTCATGCAGTGATCTTTGTCTGGAATCTCGCGCGGTGCCGGGAGGGACGGACACCGCCTCCGGCGATGTCCTTGCCGGTTCGAAGTCTTCTTCTTCTTCTTCCATTGACTGTGGGCGGTGAGGACGACGTTTTCTGGGTTTTGACGCCTTGTAAGCCCGCTGTAGGCTGGCTTCAACCCTGAAGATGGATACAGCATCTTTTCTCCGAAACAGAGGCGCGAGTGCCTGAAGTCGAAACAAGGAAGGAGCAGGGGCCGTGGCAGGTAATGAGGTCGGAGGGTGGGACGTCATCTTTTATCTTCCAGTGCACTTCAAGGCTGAAAGAAAATGCAAATTTCTGTCTGGGTGTGGAACTTGGTCTGTCACGTTAAGGGAAAACTCCGAAGACGTTTGAGGGAATGAGAGAAATGAAGTTCCTTTTGTTGTATTGTCCAGCAGACATTTTTAGGATGAGCACTTGCAAGTCTTAGGCGAAGATGGGAGGATAATATTAAAACAGATGTGTCAGAGAGTGTGGACTTGATTCAATTGCACGAAGATGAGAACCAATGAACACGGCAATGGATCTTCTAATTCGACATTAATGCGGGGAATCTGTGCGGTCAGCTCCGTAGACTCCTTTGTTTGTTTGTTTGTTTGTTTGTTGGCTGCCCTCGTCCCGGTTTTACGCGAACCGGCTCTGCCCCCTCGTCACTTTACACCGGCCCGTGTTTGCGGAACAAATGTTTGACCGTGGATGTCGGCGTCACAGACTGACGAATCAGTGGTTTCCTCGTGCAGCAGAATCGTCAGCTCAGCTCAGCTCTGCCCAGGGCTCGTAACTTCGTTCTAGCGCGAAGTGCAAAGGAGATGGAATGGAGGTTTATATTTTAACGTGATTCGTTGTAAAATTCGTAGCTCTTCTTGGATCGGTCAGTCGAAGGCTCGTACCTGCTGTCTCTGTAATGACTCTATAAATGTAGGCATTCTGATGAACACTCAAAACGATGCCCGGATCAGAAATTTCGAAGTTGTCTTTTGTACGGAGCGGCGATGAGTGAAATTTGTGGGCTTGTTTCAAGGGACGAGCGGCGAAGCATTTTAAATTCGAATGAAATCATCGTAGGCGTGTGGCATGAATTAAATTGGACGAGGCTAAACACGGTCCTGCACCCACCATCACCTAAAATGTCTCCCAAGGACGAAGAAACCTCAGGTCTGCGTGGGCTGGACCAGAATTCATTGCCACCAGCCGACAGACCTTCCTGGTTCCGTGTCATTCGGTTTCATCGTAGCCCTTCAGAGCCTAGTGGTTGCCATATGTACCATAATCAAGAATTTTGCAGTTCGCCCTCAGAGTTCAGTCACTTCTTTGATATAATTCTCAAAATAAACAGCCAATTTTCCCCTGAACAGCATAAACCGATTGATGTTTGCAGTGGCGAAGTGTCGCGTTTTCTTTGCGGTACGGACTGAATTCCTAAATATTGCGTAGACGGGCTTCGGGCACCTCGAAGGTTACGATAGTCGGTAATCCGACTGGGATTTGAAACGCGTCCCTCCCGAATGGACTCTTCGTCGCTGCATGTTCTGCTCGCTGAGCCTTTCGTTGGCGTCTGCCCTGTTTGTTCTGCTTATCAGCAACGTGTGAAAATATTGTGGAGTACAGGTATGCGCAAATAGAGCAGAGTGTGAGATGGATCGAATCAGACGGATGTCGTACTCAGCAACAACGCCCTCGCAGGGACCTAGGGGTCTAGGCCGACATCTCGCGATTGACGACAGCCTCGTGTATCACGAACTCTTCGCATTAATTACAAAGACAGAAAGAAGTTTTGGGAAGACTTTGAACACCCATTTCCCTTCAGACGTTTCGATATTTATGGACAGACTGACAATAAAAATGAATAAGTAATTGCACAGTTTCCTTTCCCACTTCTGCGCTGAATGTCCGCTCCAGAGCATTTCAGGACACAGCGTGAAATGTTCGCAACATCGCCATGTTTACGAACGTTAAAATGTGAAAAGAACTTACATACAGAATCTGCACGCCCGTGTGCGCTCCTGATCTATCACCAAATACAATTTGCCAAGTCCAGGTGCAATTGCCATCTCTTCGTTGTTGCCCTAAATTTAACGAGAGGAGGGGGGGGTCATCTTCACACTTCAGCAGACA